ATTTTGATTAACAAGAGATGAAATATAATCAATGCCTATATTTAGTTACATACTCGCAAGATATTCATAACTATACTTTGAATATTTAATACTTAATTTTTTATAACAATTGATGCTTCATCTATAATATCATACAATTTTCTTCTACGGAAAAGGAACTTTTGAATAAACGCACAACATCTATTTCAATCTATTTCAATGACCTTAGAGAAATTGCATTTCCTATTTTTATGAAACAATATCAATTGTATTTAATTTTTTAGCATGAACATAATCTGGTAAAGCAAAAATTTTAATTTCTTATCGGTTTACCCGACAATTAGACCCCTATGATATTTACCTTGCGAGACAATGTGTTAATCGCGAAGATAAGAAATAATGTATTTCGTATCGATAAAGGAAGCTAAGTAAATGAGAAAGGTACAATCAAATTGCAGAATAAAATGATACACATTTTTTAAGTTAAATTGGTAATCAATAAATAATCGAAGAAAAAGAAATGACAAAGTGTACGAATAAATGTAAGCATCTTAAGTATTTGTAGTAAAATTAATGAAAATGTATTAATCATTAATAAATAAAGATTTTATTATAACCAAGTTAAGTTACGAAATAATTATCGCGCTACAGAATTCTATGGTACTAGTAAGTGCATAACAAACAACTGTAAGTACTTGCTTGAGGTGATTAAACCGGAATAATTAGTGGATTTCCCAAATTATCATCCTAATTTCGGCGATATCTGCGAAATGTCAACAAATACTCAAACGAATAATGTATAGGGACCCTGATGAATGACTTTATCGCATAACACGTTGTCCTTTCACCGTGTCACTAACTTTTCAAACGCCAAAATAATTCACCTTGCTGGCGGGCAACGTTCCATCTGGACAATAAGGTAAACGAACTAAATAAAGTCAATGCTCGAAACACACGTTTCTGTTACGAAAACAAGAGTCATAAATTCAAGGAAGAGTCGCTATTATTGAATATAACATCGCATCTCAAATTCGACATTTTTACACGCTAGATTCCCATACATACGTATATGTATTATTTTAAATATTTTTTTAAGTATCATAAAAAAGACAATCATAAATATTAACAGGAATTTTATAAACTATGCAAGGATTAAACCGTATGCGTTTAGTTTTGATTTTAATGTGGATCCAACGTAATTTTTGCCTCCAATGAGAATTTACATTTTTTCTAAACAAAGCCTAATAATAACTTATAAAGCTATAAATTATGTTTAACGTAATGATATTATAGTCATAAATGCCAAAATATCTATAGTGATGAATTTTTTTTATACAAAAATATTATACTTATTGTTAAAATAATTAGTAATAAGATATACATAATACCATAATTTCAATTAATATTATAATTAATATATAAATATAATAATAAATATATCATTCTTCTCTATGTTAATAAAGTTAGTTTAAACATATGTATAGAAATCTATGACAAAATGTTATAATTTCTACCAACCAATAAAATTAATTAATTTGGATTATTAATAATTTCACATTGTAAGTTATATAAAATCAATAAAGTAATGTCAGTGATTATACGTGTCGATATAATTCACGAAAACGACTATAAAAATATCTTTGGAACATAAGAATAATTTAAAAAAGGTATAAAAACAAGATATAAACAATTTAATATTTAATTAATTATTAATATAAAAAGATTATTTATTATAATTTTTTATGAAATTCATTTTTTACTAGATTAAATGAATATTTTAATCATTTATTGTTATGAAATGTATTAATGTTAAACAATATAAAATTCAACTTACGAAAATATTAAATTAATTAAAGTATTTATTTAATTTATAAAATTTAACTATATTCTCAATATCGATAATATAACGAATTTTTATAAGTCATTAAAATAAATGCTTTATATTGATAATTTCCTTGAAATTAGTTTTGAAAATGAAAAGTGTTTGCAATTATCTATTAAAATTCTTGAATAAAATAAATAATGTATTCAACAATGATATTATGTTTAGTATTATTTAATTTTTTTATGTATTGATACTCTACCTATAATATAAAGTTTTTTTTTTTTTTTTAAATTACCATATAAATATTATCGTTACATTATTGAATTGGTAAAACTATTAATTTAAAAGAGAAATTTTGTATTTATATGAAATTCTGTACTGTGCATAATAATTTTGTATCGAATTATTAAAAAATTAACTTTTTAAAATAATACTTTTCATATTGAAATATAATTTAATATAAAATGTCAGTTTAATAATTAATCAGTAATATTTAAATATTATTTGTAGTAAGAAGTTATATTGTGTTAAAAAGTATTGTATGAAATAAAATTATGATGCGAATTTAAATTAGAAACAATAATTTGTCCGATATTTTAAACTCCACCTCAATATAATTAAATATAATCGGCAATATTTATTTTAAATATGATAATTAAGTATTGAAGTTAATTTGTATATACTAAATGTTGAATATATATATATATATATATATATACAGTTTAATGCATCAAAAAGATGTAAAAGATTTTTCAAAAACAAAAATTTTCATACAATTTCTATGCTACTTGGCATAAATTGTTGTACGTATTTTAGAAATTACAGTGATTATGCAATATCATTATATAATATTGATTAAAATTTTTATTATAAAATAATACATTTGATTGATAAAATATGTTATATTATCTTGAATAAGTTTCAAATTTAAATAAATGTAAAAAATACTTGTCAAATATTTATTGCATATAGTTTAAAAATCTAGATTCAATATGATAATTAATGTTTTTACGATTTTAATGTGATTGAACAACGCGGTGACTGATTGTTGTTAAATAAAATGAAAACAATGTTCTCATACATTGTAAGACATACGAGTGATATTGATCCGTGAACTCGTCATAAACATTATCAATAAATTTATTGCTCGTCAATATAAATGAAGCGAAAAAGTCCTTATATCATAAATATATTGGCAAAATATGTACTATTGTAGTAAAATTCAGCGAATAAAATACAATAATGTTCATTTCTAGTAATTCAAGACGATATTTCATCGAAAAATAATTAATTTTAATTTTACTTATTTCTTCGTTCACTGATGTATTACTATTAATCTATTATTTATATATATATATGAAAGATAAACGAATAAAAATTAAATTTTTATTTTCTCCTACCTGATCCATTTCCATTATACTATTTTCAATTTTCTCTGCAACATCCACATACGTTGAAAAGGAGTAAATATGCAAAACTTTGTTCCCATCGTTCTACACTCACACTTATTATGTATATAAATAGTCAAGCTCTATTAAAGTTAAAAAGCAATCTAATAAGCTCGATGTCTTGAATATAAGGACAGAGATTATCTAACTATACCGTCCTGGCGTCAACGATATTATCAATGAAATAAAATCATTCGGATAATCCTTTACCGGTCCTAAGGATCGATCCAACTGACAGTTTCGATATTTAATCGGGCTGTCGCCCATGCAAGCTCATTCGACTCGGATGTCCGATCGTCGAATTACCTTATGAATTCCTCGGATCATCACCATGATGAAATGATGTTGATGATCTTGTAATGCCGCTTTCGTCAGCTCATTGGCAATCCCGTATGAGGATTCTCGCGCAGTACTTATGAAGATCAGGTTAATTGTCACGCGGCCGTTCAATTCCGCAATTGCACCATGAGCGCGCGCAATTGTTATTGAATTACGAAAAGTGGAGGATAGACAGTCGATGATTACAGCCGTCCAATCTGTGGCTTCGTTATTGACGTCCTTTCGTGCCTTCATCAAAGGCTACGTCAGCCCTTTTACGTTACGTCATCGAAACGCTTTGCGCGCATTCGAGTAAATGAAATGAAACGAACAATTAATCATTCGCTAACTGGAAAACTCTTTACATTCTGCAGCTTATACCGTAATTAATTAAAATATTTTTAACGACTGTTTTACATTAATCTTTATTTTCAACATGGGCGTACAGTTTATAGTCTTACAAAGACTTTAATAGGAGATGTTCATTTTCAGCAAAATTAAAAAATCGCAACATTCAATAGATGTACCTTACATTATATTTGTATATTATTATTATTATTATTATTATTATTTAAAATTAAAACTATATGTGATATTTTAAGAAATTAAAATTGTTAAATGAAAGATAACTTGTGTATAAAGAAAAATATGGAAGAAAAAAGAAACAGATTAACGTTATATATAATAATTTAATTATCATTGATGATGTAGTGAATAATTGTTAATTATATGTTTATTCAACAATAAATGACGAGCCAATGATAAAAGCCTTTATAAATATACAAATAATTAAACATACGTAACAGAAAGTTATTTGGGAAAGAATATTTTTCATACCCATGGGGTTTAGGCTGCTATAAGAATTAGTAAAAAAAAATAAGACAAATGACTGGCGCGCGCGCGTGTCTGTGTGCGCGTGTGTAACAAAGTGCGTAATATTAAATGTCATTCGTATTACTTCACAACTGACCTTGACATGTTTTTTTCATAATAAATCACAATAATAAGCCTAAGGGAAAACCTTACATTTTTATCAATAATAGATTTAGCCGAGGTATTAATTAAATTTGGATAACAATAATATCAAGATTATCTCGTAGATATGTTGATACACGGTTTGTCAAGGTTTCACATCGTCTACCTTCAACCTTGTCCCAGGTCATGAACATATGTTGACTCTTATTTCGTTATCGTCTAAGTAGCGTCATTGATATATTTTGCCTGTAGCTTCATTTACCAGCGGAACTTTTGAGTATGCAGAGTCAAAACGGCCTAATCAAAGTGGTGGGAGGTGTGTAAGAGACAACACGTAAATGACACTTGCGACTGATTTAAACTATAAAGAATCGTTGAGTACTGCATAAGAGTCTCATTTTTATTTCGCCCTTACCACGTGTTGTTCATCCGGTGAAGCTATCGACAATCGAATTATGGCGAATACGAAAGAAATAACATTCATTCTCCTGATCCTGCTAAAACTATCAATCGCCAACGCATACAACAACCGTAAGTATATTTTATATATCTAAAGGTATTTTATATTTCATGTATTTGTACACTGACCAATTGGTATTTGCCAGAACGTATAATCAAATGCGAATCAGCTTTAAGTCACTTGAGGATTACAGGTACTTTCATTAATTTTGGATTAAAAGTATCCTATAAGCATTAAAAAAAAAAAAAAAAGAAAAAGAAAGAAAAAAAAGAAAAAAATTTTTTAATTAAAAGGAAGCCCAGAATTTCATACAGCCTTTGTTAGATTATTTCTATTCATCATAGATCCATAGTCAATGAAATTAATTAAAGCTATTATCCAAATCTCTTCTTTCATATGAATCGGCTTTGAGGAAGAAATTTCTTTATATGAAAAGTCGATCTGGAGAACAAATGGTTGATCTTTTAGTTGTAAAAATGAAAATGAAATATCTAGGAAATTATGGCTTTAAGTAAAGATCGCATCATCGGTGCGTAATATTATTTTTATTAATTTTAATGTTTTAACATCTCTTGCATTGAATAATTAGTATGATTAGAGATTGTTGCTCATTTTCCTACATTATACCGTATTGTATATTTTGGAGTATATATGTGGAAATCTTGCAGAGGTCCGCTGGCGAGTAATTAAAGGACGATAATTAGGACGGTAGCGAGTATGAGCTTCAGTTGTCACATAGTTACCGATGCTTACCATTAGCTTTTCGAGCCTTTCCAGCCCTTTCCCAACTTTTCCGACCACTGCTCGCGCGTTAGTTCATTTTCGCAATTCTGGAAATCTAGTGCTGCAATACCACAATTTTTTTTGCCAGTCAAGTAAATTTATCGTCTAGGATAATAAGCTCTATTACCCTATTTACAGGCTTACGCGGTGTCTACGCAACACCACGAACTCTATTTTCATTATATATATAAAATATATATATATATATATATATATATGCGTGCGCGCGCGCGCGCGCGCGCGTGTGTGTGTATAAACATATACGCACGCGACCACAGATACACATAAAACTGACGGCGATTATAACGATAATTATAGTCGCTTCGATAGAACGTTCTCTATTATCATTTATTTGTATTACAGATAATTAATTCATTATATTTTCAAGAAAAGAAATACATTCTGTAAAATTACTATAATATATATTTCATGTATAATAGAATTATGTGATTATATAGAATCTTTATAAGCATGTCTATTTAATAACAATTTTACTTAATTATGTAAATAAAGTATTATTAATTTCAATTCTGAAATATATTAATTAACGATAATACCTTGTATGTAAATTACATATGCAGCTTCAATTTATAATTGAAAATATTTTTAATCTAGCATGAATATAATATGAATTTTAATTATAAAAATGAAAATTCTATCCATATATTAATATCATTTTCCGATAATTCATTACATCAAAGACCACAATTTTATTAAATGTTCTTTGCTCATACGCAATTAATCAATGCTTCTGAAATATAGTTAAAATATATATATATTTAATGAAAATGATATTGTATAATAAAATTACAATGAAATTCTAAATGTTATTAACACGTTTGACTATAGTAACTCTAAGGTAATAAATACTTTTTTAAGGGCTGTATAAAAAAAAGTACATAAATATGTAATTTTTGTCTTAAAACTGGATATTTTATAATCGATTATTTGAATTAACGTTCAATTTATCGCACGAATTTGACAAAAAATTAAATTCAATGCAGATGTTATCTATTAGAATGATTTTCAAATTCATAAATATTCCGAAATGTACGGATGCAGCAGTTGTCGATGTAGTTTCATTAAACTTGTTATGTATTCGCGCCGATTTCAATTTAATGCACAAATTTGTATTCAAACATCAAATTATATAGATTATATAGTTAGATATAATATCAATATTTTTTTATCGGCAAGTTTAATACGGAAAATAAATTGAGCAGCCTAAATCCGAAAGTGCATTTAGAAAATGTACCATTTAACATTACAATTCAATTATTCGTAAAAATGAACATTTTTTTTCGAAAGTCCCAAGATCGCAAAGTGCTATTTTCACTTTATTCACCAGAATTATATTCATCAAGATTTAAAATTGTGCCAAAAACAGAATCTCCCAGCCAAGGATAAAGAGCCAGGGATAGAGTAAAAATTTTCACTTGGCCAGTAGCTTTCATTGCAGATTACTCGCGCTTTCATGACTGTGCTTACACACTACATGCATATACGACTTGCTCGCGCATCGAAATATATATCCAAATGAGAATGGCTCGCTGAAATATTCGCGAACCTAGGATTAACGAGCTCGTTATTATATTGCCGAGCGAACAGTGAGAATGTCATCGAGCAGCGACAGCGGCCCCGTTAATGGCGGATACTAAATTTGGTTTATTAACTTCCGGTTCGTCGGCGCGCGGGCGCACTTGCAGTTCTATCTCTCTGCATTAACTTCCGTTCAGTTTCGTATTCCGCCTCATTAAATCGACGTCTGTCGGAAACTAGAAGCCAGCAAATCGTTAAGCTTGCCTACATCACTACGCATCTTCTTCCCAGCCATATACGTTTTCCGTTTTTCTTTCGAAATGTCCCGAGTATACGCGACCATTGCTCCCGAGATTCATCTTTAATGTCAAAATATCTTAGCCATTGCAATTTTTCTTTTTTTTTTTCTTTTTTTTTTTCTTACTATTTACTTATATTCAGGCTTTTTATATATATAAAAAAATAAAAAATACAAAATATAATGAATAATAATTTTTACGCTTCATACTTATATATATATATATATATATATATATATATATATGGAAGAAAATCTAATATTATTTCATGAATTACCTTAATTTACAATTATTTTCACAGTTACTAAATATAAAATTATCCTTTTGTGTATATATATATATATATATATATATTTTTTCTATACTCGCGATACTTAGACACAGCGATAGATTTAAAATAAATAATTCATACATTTCCATTGGAAGTTCATCTTTAGACAGAATTCAATTGAAATTACATAAGAGTTAAACCGTTAAAAAAATATATGCGTAATATAAATGCGTAAGATCGTAGATTTTGGTGGTCAATGTATGCGAATGTATTATACTCACACGTGAATCGTAAGTAATATGATGAGCCCCGATGCGTAATAAATACCATAGAATACGAGAATCATGAACGATAGTAGAAAGTACTTAAAGAAATATTTCTCATTAGAAGTTAAGTATTCTTCGTATTAGTCATTATTGATAATGAAACGCCACTCTATCTTTTATTTATTAGGCTTGGCAGGCTTTATTCGATAATATGAACGGATATGAGCAAAAGTCTTAGGTATTGGCAAATTAGAGTCGCGTAATGTCGATATCAGATGCGAGGGGCGCCCGAGGCCAAGTTGATCGAACACTGTTCGGGTATTTGAGTAGCGAGATCTTACGGAAGGAGGAATTGCGTTTCGAGGTATTATCGCGGGCTGTATTCGACACTGCTTTTGACATCTCTATTACGCGTTTCCGAATAGAGGTGACTTGGAAATTCTATGGGCGCGCGGGCGCGAGGGGCCGGGCGAAAGCTAGAGGTCCAATTAATCAGCCGAGGCGTGAAACGAGGGATGCGAGCGCAAGTCGAGTACAATAGGATTGGGCTGACAGATCTCCGCGCACGCGATATCCATCCGATCAACCTGTTCGGGGGCATTAAATTTGCCCTCCAGCACTACCAATGACCTGGCTTCGTCTCTATATTTCGCTACCTCTATTCACTCCCAATCACACCCACGGCCTTACTCAAGCGCTTGCCTCCCAATCTCCCATTCTCCCTTCTTTTTTCACGGTCGTTCTCCGCTTGATGAAGATTTCAACTTGTCGCACCGCTCGATTTTACATACTTTTATTCGCATATTTTAGTTCTATCGTAATTTTTCTTACTTATCGTTATCAGCTTCACTCGCGATAATGACATTATAAAGATACTAACGTCTTCTCCTCTCATTTACATAAACGCATTTTTATATAATTAAAAGATGTTCTGTTTGAAAAATCATGGAAAGTGATATTGTTCGTTAGCTTGAGAACTTCTTAACGAAAGATAACGAACAATGCGACTCTTAAATGGAACATTTGTCTTGGAAATAATTTACTACGCGTAGATAAAATCCGAGAACGTTTAGTCTAAAAAAAGTCAAATCACTAGTAATTCATAGCGTATATATATATATATATATACATATATAATAACATTGAAATTTATTTTCAATAATTCGGATACGAACGTGCGTCATATCACATGTATTTTATAATAAAAATATATTATGTAAGCAACTTTAGATTACGAGTATAGGATAATAGAACCTACGAATACACGTAGATTGAGATAGATGTAAAATGAAAAGGCCAAAGGTATCCTAGATAATTACTGGAAAACAAAAGAATATGGCGAGGTGATGAGTTCATAGGGAAATCTTAGTAAAATTGAGATTCCCAAATTGCTTCTTCTAAGTAGCTAAATCCATTTATTAGCTATGGGCTTAGGGTGTTTCTAGTACGAGTCAATGTTGCAAATTTCTACAGTTGCCGTGCGCTCGAAGTTAGGCTCAAGTTTCAATAATGGCTTGGGCGAATCGATAACCCGTGGCAAGCCACATGCGCTGCTCCTCGTCTCTTTGTAAAAACAAGCTTTGAAATGGGGGTGAGGGGGTGAGGGTGTGAGGGGGTGAGGGGGGAGGAGGGCTCGTTAGAGCGATTTTTTTCTTTTGAGCCCTTCGCGCTGCTCGCAAATGTACGTAATCGCAATCTTCAACTGCGACCATTATCTACAAGCTGTGTCTCTGTTCGTTATTTATGGGCTGCATATCGCTGATATAATTAAGCCGATTAGTATCAGTGTTGGCCGCAGGAGCGATCAATCATACATTTCCAGAGAGAAAGACAGAAAAGAGGAGTCGCCGAATACAAGAGAACCTAATGCTCATCAAAGGCTGCAGTATATGGCTTCACGGAATTGGCGCACA